CCCAAAAGTGGCCTAAAATGCATTTTTGGTCGTTGCAGATCTGCGTCCCTGGGGCTTCAGGGCTGCGTTCCTGCAGCTCCGGGCGTTGGCCCGAGGAAGATGTGATGCTGCGCACTTTCATTCAGGCTGGCTGTACACAGCTTTCAGAGGGGTCTGGGGAGTGCTATAGAAGAGAGAGTATACTCTCCCCCTTGGGCCCTGTGGAACGTCAGATCATCGACACCGTCTGCGCAGAAAGGCCTCCCAGCTGCAATTTTCGGAATTTACGGAATTTACGGTATTTACGGTCTCCTCCTAGGCATGCAGCGGCACGGAGGAGGTCAGTACCGTTTGTGCTATACACCTCAAGTGAAAGGCCTATGGTATTTTATTCTCCAAAGACCTTTAAAACCAATACAAATTCGATACACGGGGAGAAGCAGCCCCCAGTTTTACAATCGAATTACCAAAACTGAAAACAGAATGAACAGCTCTCAAATGAACGTCCGTGCCGACTTGCATGTCAAAAGTGAATTTGACAAGTCTCACAATTGGACGTGGCCTGGAGATCGCTTGGGTAAAAAGAGTAAATCAACGTAGGGTGGTACAGTGACTGTACCACCCTTGTAATTGAGATGAGCATCAGCGCCGGCGCCGCGGAAATCCGGTGGCGTGGAGCTGGCGGGCAAGCGTCAATTCCGTAAATTCCGTAAATGAGCATCAGCGCCGGCGCCGCGGAAATCCGGCGGCGTGGAGCTGGAGGGCAAGCGTCAATTCCGTAAATTCCGTAAATTCCGTAAATACAGCCCTGGAGGTCCCTCCGCGGCAATTTACACAATTTACACAATTTACACAATTTACACAGTGGGCCCCGCAACCTGGAGGATACCCCCCAGGATCCTCCAGGACTGCCGGCGCCAGTAACCCCGCCGCGGAGCAAGATGAGCATCAGCGGAGCCGCAAGATGAGCATCAGCGGAGCCGCCAGCTGCGACGTAAATTACAGCCCTGGAGGTATTTACACGATTTACACAATTTACAGTGGGCCCCCCGCCGCGGAGCAAGATGAGCATCAGCGGAGCCGCAAGATGAGCATCAGCGGAGCCGCCAGCTGCGACGAAAGACCACCCGAGGCTGCCGAAATCTGGCCTGGGCCCAGGGTGACGCCCACCGTCACGATCCCCGTGGCTGAGCACCCAGTCCCCGCCCACTTCCAGAACGCGCGCAGGCAGCCGCCGCGGAGCCTCAAGATGAGCATCAGCGGAGCCGCAAGATGAGCATCGGCGGAGCCTCCCGCGGAGCTGCCAGCGCCAGACCCACCCCGGACCAGGTTTGACAGCGCCAAAAAACGTCAAAAACGTCAAAATTGCATTTTAGAAGGCCTACAGCCCTCAGAGACGCATTTCAGCACTTGACATTTTTCACGCGAGCTGTCAAAAGTATCAAACGCCAAAATTTGCAAAACTTGCCCTCGAGTCTCTTCAAAAATGCTAGACTTGGCACTTTTGACGTTTTTGACGCTTTTGACGACGCTCCGCCCCCACCGCCGCCCCGCGCCGCCGCCCCGCCGCCGAAACGCCAGGAGGTGAGCACTATTTTTTTTTAACGGTCCCCGCCCACTTCCAGAACGCGTGCAGGCAGCATGCAAGTGGCGTGCAAGAAGATGAGCATCAGCGGAGCTGCAAGATGAGCATCAGCGGAGCCGCAAGATGAGCATCAGCGGAGCCTCCCGCGGAGCCGGTAGCCGGGCCTGGGGCTCGGCGGAACGGTGGCGGGCAGTGGCCCCGGAGCGGGCGGCGGTCATCGGGCGGGGCGGCTACGCAGTGTCGGGCAGTAGCTTCGGAGCAGGTGGTGGGGCCAGAAGTTTTGCAAAACAAAAAGAAAGAGCCCCTCACCAATCTCACCCAACCTCACCAGCCTAGTCTCACCTCACCAATCTCGCCTACCTCACCAAGCTGCGCAGTCATTCGAAGCCTCAAGC